TTCTTTGTATGCATGAATTAGATATTTTTTATATAATCTATTTATAATTTATCTATGTATCTTATACTCTTTCAATAAGAAGTAATAATATTAATATATTTCATGTGATGCTTTCTTTTATTTGCTTTTCAAAAATTTTCAAATTGTTATTTCAAATATTAGAATCAAAGAAATTTTAAAAATATAATAAAATTTTAGCATAGATAATTCTTTCAACCGATGAATATTTTTCTCCTCTGTTTTTCAATGCTTATTTTCCGTATGCCAATAAAAATAATATAAAAATTGAAATATTTGTAATTAAAATGTCATATACTATATATACATATGCATATACATATCAAAAGCATCTAATTGTATTTTTTTATTGAAATATAATTTTCTATGAGATACATCGAATATATAATTAAATATTTTTATGACCAACTATATCTAGATTAAATGAAGCCACGAATTTAGGTTCAAAATAATTAAAATTTGTTATAGTTCGTTTTCACTATGAAAATTTATTTCAATATTTCCCTTAATTTCTACTGAACTGATTTTACAGGGGGAAAATAATTATTTTGAATAAAAAAACAAAATATAGATGCTCAAATATAGAGATAAAAAATGATTTTTAAAAATAAATAATATATTCCGTGAAAATATATTCAACACAAATGAAAAACTCTAAAATAGTAAAACGAGTACAATAAAAAAAAATTTGATGATACGAAAACGACCAACAAACTCTCGCATAAAGTGAATCCTTTTTTTACTACGACAGATATATGAAACTCGGTTTATTTCCATGTTAGCGAAATCACATTGAAACTCGTATCGTGACTCTTGAACGCTTGAACGCTAGTTGTACTTTATCATTTCTAGAACTGTAGTTTCATTCTGGACATTTTGAAACTCTAACAGAGAGCGTTAATACGAGTCTGGCAAAGGTCCATTATTCGTATCTTTTAACATGCACTTCCCTCGTACAAGTACTTCTCAAAAATCTTGAGTCCAAACATGTTGAATATTTTTTAAACTACTTCGCTTAGTCTTATTTCTAGATACAATAAAATTTAAAGAAAATTTTCACTTTACATGATACTGTGTTAAAATTTTACAACTATTTTATATAAAATAAAAAATATTATTTTTACTTATTTAAATTTTGAATTAAAATTATAGAAAAATACACACGAGCCAGAAAAATCTTTAGTTTACTTTGCATGTTATATTGTATTAAGCTAATTTAAAATTTGCATTTTATAATATTCTATCTGAGAATAATTAATTTTGATAATCTTTTTTCACTATAAAAATATTAAAATTTAGAATTTTGATTTTAAACGTTATATAGATCTATATAATTTTAATTTTTTTTTTCATTTATACATTTTTGAAGAGAGAATAAATTTTTTACCTAATTATAGATTAAATCTTAAAATCTTAAAATTAATATCATCAAAATAAAACTAATTTTTCCTATTATGAATTAGCCTACTCAAACACAAAATTTCTCCAACAAATTGAAACGCCAACATGGAAGGCAAATGATACGTTTTTATAATTCTAATCAAGCCAGAATCAGACAACGTAATTTTTCAAAAAAAAAACAAGACGTGGAACAATGAATGTCTAGCAATCAAGTTGAATGGAAAAAATTAATAAGTCAGCACTCAGGATGGGCACGCAAATCCATTCGCGCATCAGAACCCGTCCTTTTCACGGTAACATCATCCTATCGTTCTTTTAGTCCGGCCCTATTTGTCTTTTCTTCCTTCTTTCTCCATATTTGTCCTGCTCTTTCCTGCAATCTTTCTCCCCTCTTTACGTGTTCCTCACGCTACAGCTACGGGATTTTTAAATGAGAATTTTAACGATCGACCTACATTTCTGTGCCCTATTTACGGTGTATCGCAGGCAATGTCAAACACCGCGGCAAATACACTACCACTAGCGACGAATGCCACGGCGGAAAAGAGGGAACGATGTAATTGCGAGTACGTCGCGAGACCCCTTCGCATTGACACCTTCAAAAACGTGAGACTAGGAAAGAAAGGGAACGCTATTGTAACGATTACCAATTCGTCGACCTATTTTCCACGTGTTTTCGCAATTATACGATCTTTTTGTGCCAGTGTGCAACGTGCTTTGTTTCAATTTCAAAATGAAAATATGTGTCTGAAGATCACGAGAAGAATGTGTATTTTGATAATTTTTGAAGGAATGTATTAATTTCTTAATTCATTCATAAATTAATTCTGTCTTTATAGTAAATTGTGTAGCGTATTTGTTTGAATTTTGAAAAGAAAAAAGATGCTTGAAGATTGTAATCATGTGAAAGATATTTTATTACGTAGTTAGACAAATTTCGAAGGGAGGATATATTGTAAGTACAAATTGATTCCATGATAATATAGTTTTAATCGTGTTAAAAAATTTTTTAAATCTCATAATAGGTTTGATATGTTTTAACATTTTAATTTAATATAAGAAGCAAACATGACAATATCTAGAAATATTTTCATTATTCGAATAAAATTTTACTAAATACAATATATTTTTTATTTTACTAAATACAATATATCTTCCTCCAATATATCAATGTTTTCAAAGAAATTTGGAATGGTCAAAATTTTTTTCTGTACAATTAATGCGAAATATAATTAATAAATAATAAATAATAATTATATAGAATTAAAATATTATTTTTTTAATTTCTATAAAAAAAGAGAATTTTTTGATATTAATATTGATAGTAATATTTTTTTTATAAAATTCAGTTCATAATTTGATGAAAAATGTACATATATATCAGTGAAATTTACATTATACACAATCTTCAAGTACTTTTCTTTATTCATAGATAAAAGTAATTTTACCTCAATAAAATGATTTGCTTTTATAGTTATTAAAATTATAATTACAGTTTTAAAATTAATTTTTGAAATTATATCTTTCCTATTCTAAAATCTTTCATTTGATTTAATTTAATTATTCCATAATTCCTAATATATACTTAAATACTTATAATACATTCCTTTAAATTTCGTTTGTATCCTTATTTCATTATTTGTAACTTATATAATAACTATATTAATTATAGAATAATAATATTATTAAGCAATATAGTATATACTAACTATATAGTAATAATTATATAATATAATATTACATAATTTTATATAATATTACTTATGCTATATTATTTTACTATATTATTAATATATACATATATGTTGCTAAAATAAAATTTTGATTATATAAAGTTTTAAATATTAATTTTCAGTTCATAACCACAATATTATAGCAATATGGTTTTATACCTATATGTTATATTCATTATCTATTTCGCACCAGAATCATATGATAGCACTTAAATAAATTATTCGAAGACTTACCCTCATGTGTGGCTGGACCAAAAGTTCATGGAGTTCCCGAAGATCCGCCCTATCGATGTTTCGTATCGCTGAATGCTCTATTTCTCGAAGAAGTTCTTCGACCTCTCGCGCACGCTGAACAGCGTCTGTCTGTGGCGCTCGACATGGCGTTGGAACTCGAGTCGAAATCCTATCGTAAAGCTGAATAAGAACAACTACGTTAATCCTTGTATTGAATTTCCACAACTAAAACTATAAAGATATTTCAAATTCACTAAATCCAATAGCTTTGGTTATGTATTCATGTCAATATACTTTTTTGTATATTATGTGTGAAAAATATATATGATAACTTCATTTCGTATATTTTGCAATACAGTTTCCATATTCATATATAAATTATAATAGTCAATTATTAATAGATTAAAATACTTACATAGATAACTTAAACACAATAATACTAAAACAAATTCGAAATCAGTTTCATCCAAATGGTTGAATAAACTTGAAATAAATCACGTATTAATTTCCACACATCCGTTTATTAAGCCTATCAGCCATGTACTAATCGTATTCGCGGGAAAACAGATTAGTTCATCGTGAAGCCTTCAGATGTCCTATCACGTCGCGGTGCAGCGAAAGATCATGTGTGATGAATGGAACGATGGTATTGTTTACATTACCGACGAAAGAAAAAGACAAAATCAACGCCGATAATTACCCACATTTTGTTTAAAATCGATTTACTTACCAAAAAATAGGCAATTTCGAGGAGATCACCGGCCAATTCGACTTCACCGAAGAACATTAATTGACAAAGCCGCATCTTTTTGTTTACGATATTCCTATTCTAACAAATAAATTATTGATTTCATATGTCTTTATATAATGAGATATACATACACATCTATCTAATGGAAAATGAATTGTGACGATTTTGCAATCCTGTATAGCATTTTGTTTATCAGACCAACACGACAGCCATCTTGATAATCAAGGATCAAGCGCTTGCGCCCTATTCCCGAATAAAATGAGGGCGCGTACCTCTTCCCTCGGGATATAAACATGATAAAGGGTTGAAACTGTAGAACGAAACAGTGGAGCATGGAATGACCTTGAAATCAATAGAAATCAACAGTGGCGCCACGAATAAGAATTATTACCGTATGTCGATAAAGTAAAAGGACTAATGATAAGTATAATAAAAATTAAAATAATTATAAGAAAAAAAATTAATAAAAATTATATATCATTAGTAAAGACAAATTAAATCTCATTAATATCTAATCTTAGTAATGAATTTCAAACGAATTATCATTATCTTCGTTATATTATCGATATACAGTAAGTAAGCAGATAAGATAGAAATCTATATGATGAAGATATATTTTAGAAATTTGTCTGTTTGCCTAAATTTTGTAATTATAATTATTTTATAATTATAATTATTAAATTCTTGATACTATATATATTTGAATTTATATAAATAACATATTTAAAGAACTGGAAACTATATTTCAAAATTACGAAATATGAAATTTATTGATACGAGATTTAGAATTGTTTTACAATATCTCAAACATACCTCTAAAATAGCTCGAAGACGATAATCATCAACTGCATTAAGTATCTCGGCACGCGTCAGTCTTCCACTCTCTTGAAGTACTTCAATATCATCGAGAGAGTCTATAATTTCAGCTACAGCACCTGAAAAATAAATATAATTTTAGAATATATACTATAATAATAAATATAATTAAAAAAATAATCAAGTTTGCAATTAATCAATCGTTTAATTATTATTGGAAATAATCATGACTTAATAATTAACTGATTTCATTAATTATTTATAATTTTAAATAGATTAAGAGTAATATAATATAAAATAATAATAAAATAAGATAAAAATATGAATGAAATAGCTTTAAAATACTAAAAAACTTATATAATAACACTTACTTTTTTGATTTATATATATAATTTATATAATTTTACTTGAAAATCAAATTCTAAATTGCGTTTTATTCTTTGTTTATAATGACTATACAATATACATAAGTATTACATTATATTCATACCTGTGGTTATAACTTCATCGTCTCCTATATCAAAAAAGCTGTCACCGTTAATTTCCGAATATGGGATGTGCCATTTGGAGGATGAAATCGCCACTTTCACAGCGTCTTTCAATTTTCGTCTAGCATTGAATTTCTTAAGCTCTTCTATAGTTTCAGCTAAATGTATTCGGGCCACACCCTTATCACGATCCTACAAATATAATTTATTTAAGGATTATGTAACATTAATATCGTCATTAAATTACGAACAGTAATATTATAAATAAATCCCCATATGTGATAAATCATCTATAAAATAACCACTGAAATTAGAGCATGGAACGTTCAACTAATATTAATTATTTCTTATTAACTTCAAACCCCATAAATGTAAGAAATTCTTGTATTCAGCAATAAATTAATATCATATAATATTTTCTATCATATAATATTTCATATTATATAATATTTTCTACTTAATTAACATATATATCGAATAAAAAGAGATTAATATTTAAAATAAAATATAGTGATTTTTCATTAACTTCAGTGATTATAAATTTTCGTATATTTAATGATAAATTATAATATTTTGAAAGAAATTAATATTCCTTATGTGAAATGAAATAAACGGATAATATGAACAAATGAATTTGTATATCAATAACCAAGCGATCTATACGTTCGAACAAAAAGGAGTGTCCAATATTTGTTTCGAAAAAATCTATCGGGAAATTTCTTATTAAAAAAAAAAAGGGACGATAATTACGTTCGTTTTCTATGAAGTTCTTAGAACTTGAGCGAGTGTGCAGTCACGTTCAAAAAACTGTAACTGGCACAGAGAAAAATATACACCGCTACAGTTATTTTCATTAACCGGTGGAACTTTGCCCCTGCTATAGCGATCGATAGCCCAGTTGCACGTGTATTGCATCGATATATGGGGTGACTCCAAGCTTCGCTACCTTAGGTCACTGGCTAACTGTCGTGTCATATAGGTATATTCTTACTTTATTACACCATATGCCGTGCACATGCGCAACGTACATTCACCGGATATAATAACAGAAAATGAGGCCGTTTATCGAAAAGCTGATACGATATAAAAAGAAGGCAGATACGCTCCGAGCATCTATTAAATAGAAATTGTTAAACACGAATACACGTGTTGTCGGAAATAATCGTTTGTACTTCACAGTTACACTTTCGAGAAATAAAAGTTTTATTATTTCAATCATTTTTTATATTTTTTATACACGAAGATTATTTCCTCTCCTCAAAAACAATTTCCAACTTCTCACGTTACAATATTTTCTTTTTTTCTTTCGTAAAAATAAATCGAGATGAAAAGCTTTCCGAATTTTGTTAATGAAAATTCTCCCTCTATAAAATTCGTCCATATTGATGATTTCACTTTCAAACTCATGCTCGAAAACTTTACATACTTTCAAGTATTGAGAAACGTCATTTAACAATTAACATAATCTTTTGAACATGACTGAAAAAAAAATCCTCTCATTACTTCTGATTCAATCAAACCTAACTTACTCTAAGCCATTTGTGGTTCAGCACTTCTTGTATGGTAATCCTATGATTTACATCCGTTGTGAGCATTCTTTGTATGAGATCCTTCGCCGGTTCACTAATATTGTCCCACAATGGTGTCTCCATCTGAAAATATTACGATTATGTCATGAATAGTTTCATTGTTGGTGCACAATATCGTGTAAACGTTATATTAAAATATGTATGTAAAAATATATCGTCATCTTTCTTCCTTTCATAGAGCAAGAGAAAATGTTACGTTTAATCAATTTCTACCTGTACTCGTCCTCTGCAAATTGCTTCTCGCAGTCTATCTCGAGAGCCGACGAATGGAAGTGTACCGGTTAATAGGACATGAAGTAGTACTCCGGCTGACCAAACGTCACCAGGCTTCCCGTACTGTCTCCGTTGGATCACTTCCGGCGCCATGAAGTGTGGACACCCAACACGACCTACACGACCAAGAACATCTTTAGAATCATGTAAAACACGGTATATTCGGCATGATGGAAGCGAGCTGGGGCAGTGATTGCTTCGAAAGTTCGCAGTCGATCGTTACACGTTTCGTGAAAACTTTCATACCCGGGTCGAAACTTCGTCGTTAAGTTCCAAATTGAAAGTTTGATCCATATGAGCAAAATTCTCGCCTCGATGCTATTTACGATTACACAAGTAAACACAAGTACTCTAATAAGTTTTTCTATCACGTTCTTGAAGAAATTTTTTTCTTTTTCGATGATCGATCAAGGCAAGGATCGATGGCTGGGTCATTTTTGATTCGGTAGACTTTATTAATTAATCCTCTGGGTACAGCAACTACTGCTCCGGATTAATTTTTCATCTAAACTTTAAACTTTAAAAAACTTTTTCTCTTAAAAACCTTTGAAAAAATTCGAAGTCTCTAATTTTAATTTAAAATTTTTCAACGCGGATTTTCTTCACAAAAATTTAACAACGAAATTTTCTCTTGATCCTTGAGTTGGATTCTATACAAAGGATTAGATAAAGATTTAAAAGATTTAAAGCTTTTTCAACGAAGAATTTAACAATAGAATTCTCTTTTAATTCTTAGCAATTCAAATCGGATAATAAAAATGAATATATACGCATAAATAAAGACAAAGACTTAGATAGTTTGGATTTATGAATATGAGTTCCAGCCATCGTATTTCTAGTATCTTCAACTTTTGCGTATATCTTAAACGATTAACATTGATCGTGGATTTTATTGTAAAAAATAATTTTTTGATAAAACTAACGCGATCATGGGGGGAGAGTGAAGGGACTGAACAAATAAAATGCGGGTAATCTGTATTCCGAATAATTTAAAATCTTCTTCCAATGAATCTCATCGCGTTAACGATTGAAAACTCGATAGCCGTAAAGAAAGAGATAGAACCGCTCGTTATTTCGTGAATGCTAGATCGACTGGACCAATTGGATATGCATGTAATGCCAATAGACGAATATGTATTATATTCAAATGTAAAACAAATGAAACATTCGGTGAGAAGAGAATAACGCATTGCCGCATCTAGGCACACTTGTACGAGCACAATGCAATGTTTTGCAAATTGCAGCGTGCTAATCAAATGTATAAATAACATCTAGCTGGAGGTTGCAGAAACGAGGCAGAAAAGCTGGATAAAAAAAGGATATTGAACAAATGAATTTAGAGAAACGTGAACGATAGCATACGCGATTGTCAAAGCAAACAAAGCAGAAATAGTAGATACGCGCGGAATTTATTTATTACAAAAGTTTGTTTAACTATCGTAATGTTTTACATACGTTCAATGAGCGAAACAGAATACCAAATTATCCTGTCTTTTCGATTGAAACTTAAAGACTTTAAGATTTTATATTATAAGTATAAAAATAATTAGTATGATAATCATTTTCAGCTAATGGCAGAATTTAAATATATCAATAAGAGTAAGAATTTGAAAAACATTTCATAATATTATTAATAAATTGTTGATTTTATAACGCTTTGTAATAATATTATTTTAAATATCTCTGCTTAATTTAATTTATAATAAAACGTGAAAATGAACAATTTAATTATTCGATAAAATTCATTTTTTAATTATAGTTAAAAAAATGAATCAAAATTTAAACTAAATAAGATGTAATACGATTCACAAATTTCTAAAATTTTTCAAAAATATATGCAATAATTTTCTTGCAATAAATATAATCATATTTTTAGTAATTTTAATATCTACAGATAATTAGGTTTCTGTTTCATAATGAAAAATCCTTTGAAAAATAGCAATGGATGTACCTGTATAAATATAATACATTCATTTAAATATAAAAACATGAAAATAAATACAATTAATTTTATACATAAGCGAAATGTGTATATATAAATTAAACATTTAATTTTTATTTGTATAAACTGTACAAAAATATTTGTTTAAAGATAATTGCAATGTTTCGGATATTATATAAACTTGACAACATCGAATGAATAAACAAATCATAATATACTACTTACAAAACTCCTTTAGTGAAAGATAAATGTTGTTTACGTAAGGGAGTAAAATAAGTAGCAAATTAGCATATATATTAGGTAAAGAAAATTCCGTCCATCTCTCTCAAATTTGCACCAACCGGAATTATATACGAAAATGCACGAAACTAGGTCAAAATTATAATACATAGAGAGAGTGTGAATTATATATAGCAAAAAACATGAAAAAAAAGACGTATAAGGGGAATACATCAAACTACATACATTAACAAGATTACAAAGATGAATCTGTGCAATGAGATGGAGATAATAAGACAGAATATAAAATTTCAAGAAAATGATGCTGAAAAAAATATAATAATATTCGCAATACGAAGCTGTCGATATCAAACATGAATGAAGAAATTATGCGAATTGTTAATATATAATATCGTAAAATATAATGCGTGTATATATATAATAACAAATAATAGTGTTTCTTTTTTTATGAATTCTGTAAATATTTATGAAGAGAAATAATTATCATTAATAGTGAATAAAATCTATTAACAATAATTGTTCAATAAATGCATTTTGTCTTCTTAATTTGTAACATTATGCATAATACAAGTTGCTTCATGGACACATGTGGCAAATATGACGAACCACTCACCATAAACCATTTCCACGTGGTCGACGTTGGTGCATTAAACTTTAGCGAATATATGTAATAAATGCGAGCAAAAAGGATTGCAAAATTACGCGATCATAAAACTGTGAGTAGTTGAACGTGAATTTTTTTATCATTGCTTTTTCATGGAAATATAATGAAAAAAAAAAAAAAAGATAGAACAACATTTTATTTTAATCCACGCTGAGAGATAGCGGATCGAATAAACAATATAGATAATTCTATTTCGATTTAAATTGACATTGAAATTCAAATCTGATATATAATTTATAGAATCGTGATTTTATGACATTCGCAAATCTCATCTTTAATCCTCTCTTCCGATCTGCTGTTTAAAATTTTGATCACGAACGAAAGCTCATACGCACCAATCATTTTAACGCATTGCTATATCCGCTTTATTCGATTCTCACCGCTTGAAATCTTGAAAACTGTACTGTCACGTACTTGACATTGCTTACTCATTTCTTTTTTTCCCCTCCCTTTTTTAATTTATTTCAATTGTTCATTTATCGATTTCGAGAGAAGTTAATTAAAATTTGCTTTTGCCCGTTCGAATTGAGTGGAATAAATCTAGATATGCACGTTGATTTCGAAGAGAAATATTTTCTGCAAAATATGGATTTATTTTTTATAAAATTTATTTTTCTTCATTTACGTATAATTTGATGATCATATGATATAAAAGAGGATTACATTTTAAAATATATGATACCTATATAAAATAATATTTTCAATAATCTTTAAATGCAAAATCATTATCATGATGATATATATTGCAATGATGTATGTATGTGTAAAACACATATTCATGTTTAGACACTTACGTTCGAATGTTCACTTGCATGATATTATTTTTTTTTTTTAAATAACAGATGGAAAATATTGATGATGTACGACACCACAGATAACAAACGATAAGACAAACACAAAGGCATACATATATAGGCAGACACATAGAGACAGGCTAGTCTACCGCTACGAACAATGACGACACAAACAAGCCCAACAATCGGGCAATTTCTGAACGCAATCAGACTAAACAAGAAAAACATTGAAGAGTTTATTACGTACTAAAAGGAGTTGTAATTAAAAATTTTAAAAATATAAATATCACCAAAATTTGTTTATTTTTTTATAAATACGTGCTATCCAATACAATACTTACTCATAATGAACAAAAAAAAGTTTTGCATATACATTAATTTGATAAATAATCTTCTTTTCTTTCTTCTTTAATCGTCAAAAATAAAAACTTATTGATTATTGATACTATTTCTAATTATAAAAATGGACAAGGAAAATCGTAATGAACCCTTCAATCATAGAATCCCTATAACGATGAAGCAGAAGTTGACTCATTCGTACACTCTACAAAAGGGGGGCACGTCGATGTAGGGGAACAAACCAAGGTAACGAGAACAGAAACAAGAAAAAAATAAAAAATAAAAAATAAAAATGGGCATTTCTGTCTTTTTCTCGAGAATATTAGACAGCTCGACGACACAACGTGTATTTGTCACTACGCGGGCCTGCACAACGATTTTACAGGAACAAACTACCGTACGTAGGTCAAGTGGAGTGTCTACGCAGACACTACGTGTTGTTCTGAAGCTGACATAATCGAACGACACGCGGGGGTAGAATGAATATATGCGTGCCATTGAAAACCAGGAACGATTTTAATCGATCCCCTGTTAGTTCTAACGATATGTCGTCGTCACAAGAGAAATCGAACACAGTCTTTTAAAACCAATCGAGAGGGTTGTGCGCGCGTATTCAAACGAACGATTCGATATAGACGAGAATATTTCGAAGAAGAGTCGAAAGATTTTTTTTCTTTCTTTCCATTCTTTTTCATTCGTTTTTCGTCGTTTCTACCCCCGGTTCTCGTTATTATGCGGATGTGGCAGGCATACGAGTACCGATATTGTCCTCCGTATCGCTCACTAGCGAATCCTCGGCGTCGGTCAGGTCCTCGAAAGGGAAATTGCAGCTCGGAGACGTCAGCCCTATCGAAAGAACACAGACAAATAGGACAAGGATCGTTATCGTCGGAGTAATTTTCGGGTTGGGTGGCGTCCGCCATCATCGACGATAAGAGGAAGACCTTATCGTCATCGCCGTTATTCGTAGAGGAAGACAGACCTGTGTTTGTGTCATTGTATCGAAGAATCGAGTTTGGTACGGGTCAGAGCATCGAGTCGTGGAAAACGGATTTTTCTAAACGATTTCTTTTTTTGGCATAGTTGCGTCTTTATCCGGCCAATTGAACGTTAATCTCGTTGACTCGTTTGGTCATTGGAGATAAAAAGGGATGCTTTCTTTAATTAGTTATCATTGGCTATAAATTTACCATTCCTCGTTTGCTTTCAAACGACTTTGGATACTGTGGTGTCTTGTTATATGTATATATATTTTCTATATATATACATTTATATGTATGTATATATATATAAAAATAAAATGGTAAATTGGGTCATTGTATTAATCGCTACTAAAAAATTTATCGCGAAATTTGAATAAAAATATGGATGTATAAATGGTACAAAAATGGAATCTATGATACATTGAGAACATTGAAATGGAATCAAGTTAAATTCAAGTGCATTATAACAAAGAAATTGAAAATATAGAATGTAGAATATAATTTTTAGATACGAAACTTAGTTTTTAAAAATGTGAATCGAAAATCGAATCTTTCTTTCCCTCTTATATTGAATATTTAGCTAATTTTTCATTTTTCATTTTCTTTGATTTTTAACGAAAAAATTTTTTGGATTAATGATATTCTAATTCTTTGAAATGATTTTGTTTTTCCAAAATTTTAATTCTTTTTCATTTCTCTACATATATGTTAATTTAATCCCAAACTTTTAAACAGAATTTTCCAAAAATTTCCAATTTTCCAAAAAACAAAGCTTCGTATTAAAAAAAAATTCATATTAGAGTCTATTTGTATATATAAAACCATGTAATATTATTTGTAAAATTATTTACATCGAAAATCACATCGAACAATAGTGAAAGAATAGGGAATAATCATGTTTTTTCAAATGTAACAAATCCTCTGATCGAAGGATTTTTCCTTTATTTCGAATTCGTATCGGGTTAAGGTTCGATAAAACACATGGTGACAAGGTGACAGTTTTTCAGATCGTTCTCAGATCGAAGTTTCAGACTCGTGGTCGAAATCTGAACGCGAATAAGCAAGCAAGCAAGCAGTGGCAGCTTCTAGAAGTACAGTAATGTGAGAGGGACACACGGATCGGGTTAAGATAGTAGCATAATGTGTGGTTCTGTACGTGAATATATGTGATTCTGTATATGTGTTTGTATATGTGAGTGTGTGATACATATGGCATGATGATACAAGGCTCCTGCGGAAGTGATGATTAAAGGTTAGGTCAGGCTTACCCTCGTTGTCGGCCTTCAAGTAGAGCTGCCCCTTTGGGCTCAGACACTGCCGATACTCGTTGTAATACTCTGTATTCATTCAAACCAAATTTCAAATTATCAAATTTTATCATTTTAAGCGATGCTCTTTCCTCGCGTAGCTATTCAAAATTTTCTATAATAAAATTTTGGAATGTTTTCAAGCAAAATTGCGGACAATACTTCCATACGCAAATTCTATAATAGCGCAAAATGTTTCTCAAGCTTTATTACAGCGTAGCGAAGAAAATTTATAATGTACATCATGTGAAATTTTCATTACTAGAATTGAATATAATTTTGTTTCGATCGATTTCGTTGCATAATTATTTTCTTAAATATTTCAGTTCTTTTAAATGCTATTCGTTTTATGCTCATAAAATAAACATGTTCTGTTTTATAGTTATAATTATTATAAGCTACACGATACGATAAAAATTCTTGTATGCTAATACATTCTTTTATCGTATTTTCTAATGTAAAAATTGCAAAGAAACTAGGAACTGAAATTAATTGCGAAAAATATCAAAGCCTCGTGTTTCGTGTATGGAAAGCAAAAAAAAGAGATAACAAAATCTTTTTAATATTGAATCGATAATATGATAATAAAAATTTCAATAATATACTCGCTTTGATACCATGAAACAATGCATAATAAATATAAAAATTAGAAAGAAGATTAATTTTAGAAAAGTAGACTATTATTATTCAAAAAAAAAAAAAAAGGAAAAAAAGGAACATCTTTCGCCTTTCTCAAATTCGTTAAGCGGTTCATCTAGAAACTCATGAATCCAAGAAGATCCAGTTTTCAAAGATACGAAGTTTGCTGCTCCACTTTTAAGGCTACTTTTCTCTTTGATATTTGTGTTTTTCTTATTGTTCGATACCTTAAATTAGTTCCGAAAGTTGGAAAGTTACATAATAAATATAGCTTTCGACGAATTTAACATCTGCTTTAATCATGACAACTTTCTGCAATAATAATTCCAAGAATTCCTCTCCCTTTAGATTTTAAATTATTGTTATTTATCGAATAAAACTGCGAGAAAATTGGACTAATTATTAGAAATTCAAAATAAACATTTATTTAAAAAATTTGAAATGTTAATTTTAATTTTAATCGATAAAAGAGTAAATTACTAATATCTTAAATAAATAAACTTGTGAACTGATACACAATTACATTAAAATTGTACAATTAGCAAAATTAAAAATATAATTTATGTAATAAAAAAAAAACTATCTTTTTCTTATTACTATATAAAAATATATAATCATAATATTAAAATGTGACTTTTTATAAATACTATAAAATAAATTATATTGAATAATATATTTAATTCAATATAATTTAAATACGATAATATTTTAAATTAACTAAATTATGATTATATTTTAAATTAAATTAAATTAAAATATGTAATATTTAATAATAATAAAAAACAAATCTTCACAATGTGAGAAGATCCAATTTTATTTTTTTCGAAATTCAAAGCATTTATTAATCTTCCATTTCCAAATCATAAAATTAATATACTAAAATTTTTTACAAAAAATACAACTATCGCTTTTCTGTTCTACTAACATGTAACAAAGTCTTAGGTTATTCTATCCTTCAACTATAAAAGTAAATACAAAAAAATGTGCAATAAAGTCAAAGTTCCTAAAGTGACAGTAATTGAGTCTTTTATCCTAATTCTACAATTTTATCTCGCAACTATTGCCATATTTATGTACTAGAAAAAAGAACTTAAACATTTTCTACGAAATAATCCCAAAAGTATTACTCTAAAAGAAACAAAATTTAGAAAGTGAAAAAAACTTTTATTCGAATATTAAATATTTGTTCATTCACAACGCTCTATGAAGAAAATCTTTCCTGATGATAATTTCATCTATTCGATCCTCGAATTGAAATGCGCCCAGCTTAAAATTACAACGAGGCGCAGCATATACTTGTTTTAGATCCTCCGTAACATTCTTTCGCAAACAACTCGGATCAATACTCCACATCTTCTACGAAAAATGTATCGTGGTATCTGTTTCCGCGTTTCAGTCAGTTCTCAACGCGGAAAAACTAGGAAAGAACACGGGTGCATGGAAAATAAATTTAGCCGCCACTATTCAGACAGGGATCGGGGAACGAGGGGACGAAATCATTGATTTTACGGCATGATTCATTGATTTTATACGAATCACGGAGCATGAATGAAAGTCTGACCACTTACGCATGAGCACCGAGTGAAGTGGATCGATTGCTATAACAAAGTGCATTTTATCAACGGCTCTTAACGGCGATACGATCAAATGTGGCGCGACAATTCCTCCTACGATTATCACTAAAACGGATTTATAATAATAAAACAAGGGTACAACGGTTGGAAATATCGGAGATTTTTTTTTTCCTTTTCTTTATGAATGAAAGAGTTTTGTCTACGTTGTGCACTGATTATGATTGCGATAAAAAAGATGAAATTAATTATTGTACTACGATTGAACCTCGATTATTCACGTATCCGATTATTCATGCGTTCAATTACCAAATAATCTCGATGCTTGAGATTAACTGGAATTACGAAGCGCATTTTCTCTGTAAATTTACATGATACAATGAAAATATTTGCTGAATATTTGTTGAATGAAAATATATATAAATTGTGGATATTAAAAATTTTGTCTTTCTAAAATTTTATTTAATTAAATTTCTAATTTTATTTAATTAAATTTCTAAATTTTTAAAAAAAAATTGGCTTTTCAAAATTAAAAAAAATATTCCTTAATAAATTTATAAATTATTTTTTCTATTTCTATTGATAATTTTGACTTTTTAAAATCTTGATATAAAGATCCCTTTTTACTTAAAAAATTTGTATAGATTATTTTTCTAAACTAACTATTTTATATCATTCTATAAAAATAGCGAGTTACGTAGTTAATTTTATAGAATAAAAAAACGTGTTTATTTTGTTACTCGAATAGATTAGTAAAAATTTTCATTGAAACATACAGAATTGACTTCGTCGAATCGAGGTAGAGCAATTGCCAGTGGATTAAGGCTGTTTATTTATCGACGCGTAAAAAGACCTTAATCTACATGAATATTGAAACCTTTGACACGTTCACAGGCTGCCTCAGGGTTCTATCTGAAAACCAAAGTTCCGTCTTTTTCGCATAGTGTTCAAATGTGTAAATTGACATTGGCGTGTCTGATGAAATCCTGATGAAGCTAGCTTCAATACTTCGAAACGAACGTTTTTCCAAAGAAAATAAAGAAAAGTACTGAAAAAAACTTCAAAAGCTTAGAAAATAAGTACGAGAATATTAAAATCTTTGACATTTTCTCACTCTGACATCAATCATGCAATCTGATATACATGTTCACTTTTTAAAAATTCTTATCTTTTCTATGTAACTTTTTTTATCTGATTATATTGTTATTAAGAATTAAAATCTAAGATTGTAATTAGGAATTGTGATAAGTAAACTACTCGAAATCAATGTACTGATAAGTATAATAACATAATAATAAATGAATAAAATAAGATAAAATATAATTAAAATGTAATTCTTAAATAAA